ATGTTATGTTCTATTCTATTTTCCATTCTATTTTATTTTCTGTTCCATTATTCTTTTCTATTGTATTCTATTTCTTACTCCTATTCTATTCTATTCTATTCTATTCTATTCTATTCTATTCCTTACTCTATTCTATTCCTTATTCTATTCTATTTCTTATTTTATTCTATTCTATTCCATTCCATCCCTTCTCAAATCCACCCCCACCCCCCCAATAAAATTGTAGGGCCATGTCCAGGCAGCCACAATGCTGATTCAGAAGTCAACCCCCCAAGATAAATCCAACATAAATAGCTGAAAGTGATGACTGACTGATGATCAATCGATCTACGATTTATTTCATTCCAGCTGCTAGGTAATGGAAGCACATATTTATTTACAGAGGACAACTGGCTCTTGGCCTTCGGGATGGTGGGACAGTGAAGACTTTCCCACCTAGATCACATTCACGGCAAACCACCATTGTCGGTTTGGCCAAATTGGGAAGGCGGCCAGCGATGGAATCATTACTCATCCTACCTTAAGGACGTTGGACGCTTTCCCGCAGGGCTCCTTCGCGGTCTGTCTTTATGCAAGACTTACCTGTCACTCATACATCCCCAGTTCCGGCTCTTCGCACGAGCCGCGCAAAGAAAGGCGATGACGGTTTGTTAGCGCAACAGTGTCCGTTTTCAGCACGGGGTGAGCCATGCACCTTTTTCCATCGCTGGCGGAAAAAGGGTGCATAAAACCTGTGCTGAAAACGTACGGGTTGGTTTTTTTTCGTTTTTTTTTTTGCAGTCTGCGTGTGCTGTGCCGGTGTGCGAGGTGGATTTTGTGTTGGATGGGCCCTGGCTTGGGGGTTCGAGGCCTTCAGGCCGGCGGAGCCCTCGAAGCGCCGAGCCAGGGCGAGGCGTGTGAAGAAGTGTGTGTGCGGTGTGTAAAATAAAACGAATAGCTCACACGATCCGGCTCTCCCGCCAGGAATAAGGGGGGGTGCTCCCCGGGCGTCATCCGTTGCCGGACGCCCCCAAATTTACGTCGGCCTCAAAGAGTTAGCCACCTCTGTGCTTTCATTTTTCCAGGCTTAATTCAGCCTATTTGCTCATGCACCAGCCAGGTTGCCAACCATCTTGCTGGGATTTTTTTCTCTTCCACGGGGTTCTCCACTCTTCCGGAGGACGGAGTTGAAAATGGGAGTGGTGGGCCAGTTAAGGAGCTCCTTGCTGCCCTGAGAAGCTGGATGGAAATGGTTGCAATTACTACGAGGGGCTCAGAGCGAAGACGCCGGGGGAGGAGGACGCAGCTTTGAGGTCCCACCCCGCCCACACGAGGCTTCCGAGGGGACGGCTTAAGAGAGTGACCGGCGACGTCGCTTTGCAGGACGCTCGAAGTCCTCCACCCGTTGTCCCAAAGGCTGCTGGTTTTTTTGACCCTCCCTCCGCCCCCCCCCTCTAAAAGGCAACTGGAATTTCTTGGTTTCGTTTTTTCTCTCCCTGAAAACGTTTTTGTTTCTCACCCTCGGAAGTCGGGACGAGAAGCGAAAGGTTTGCGAGGAAAAACAAAACAAAACCAACAAACCCAAGAAAGTTGTCAGTTGTCCTTTTGGAGGGAAAAAAAAGCCCTTTTGAGACAACCTTGGCCTGGATGATGGAGAACTTCCGCAGACCACTCAACCCGTTATGAACCTTCTTGCTTTCAGTTCTGGTCATGCAACCGGAATGTTCCTCCAGATATTTTTCCATAGCTTTGCTTTTTTGGGGGGGGGGGGGGGGTCTGGTCATAAAAAAGATAAATAGTCCTCGACTTACGACCACAATGGAGCTGAAAACTTTTGTTGCCAAGCGAGACCTTTGTTAAGTGAGCTTTGCCCAATTTTACAACCTCTCTTGCCACAGTTGTTACTAAGCTGGCAACACGGTCGTTAAGCAAATCCGGCTTCCCCCACTGACTGCTTGTCAGAAGATCAAAAAAAGGGGATAGCGTGACCCCCGGGGGACTCTGCGACCGTCGTAAATAAATTCCCAAGTGGATGAATTTTGATCACGTGACCACAGGGAGGCTACAACGGTCGTTAAGGGTGAAAAGCAGTCATCAGTCAATTTTTTTCCAGTGCTGTTTAGTGACCTTGAACGGTCACTAAATGGACAGTTGTAAGTCGAGGACTACCTGTATTCCTGGCTTTCATCAGGACAAAAAAAACAAAAAAAAGATAAATAGGTCGTTTTATCGGTAGCACTTTCAACCTGGAATCAAGTTAAGGGCGATGTTTCTCCAGCGGTCAAGGGACCGTCTTATACCAGCCAGTCATTTTTTTCCAGAATAAACTGGGACTGTTGTGGAGGGATGAACCAAGAGCGTTGTGAAGGTGCGTAGGCATGCACGCACACACATATGCAAATTTTAAAAAAAGACAAAAATCAGTTGCCTTTAAAATAAAAGCTATCCACACAGGCCTGACAGAGACTGTGAAATGTCCAGGTCTGCCTTATACCATCCTGGACAAATGGCTGCCCAATCTTTTAGAACATGGAATCAAGGGCTAGAAGGGGCCTTGGAGGTCATCTAGTCTAACCCCCTGCCCGAGCAGGAGACCCTAGACCATTCCAGGCAAGTGGCTGTCCAGTCTATTTTTGAAAATCTTCAGGGATGGAGCACCCACCACTTCTGGAGGGGAAACCTTCCCACTGACTGATTGATCTGAGATTACAGAATAACAGAACTGTAAGGGATCTTTGGAGGTCATCTAGTCCTATCCCCTAATGAAGCAGGAGTCCTTATTCCATCCAAGACAAATGGCTGTCCACTCTGTTGTTAAAAACCTCCAATGATGGAGTGCTCACAATTTCTGGAGGCAAGCTGATTAATTCCACTGATTGTTCTCACTGTTGGGAAATTGCTCTTTAATTCTACGTTGGACTTTTCTTTAATGATCTTGCATTAAATTCTCGGAAAACTCAGACAGAAGCAGATAATTCTCAATGCCATGACCACGGATAGGAGAGACCTGAAATCACCCACACATGGAAATATGAGAATATAAGATTTCAGACCCCTGGCTGGCAATGCACGGGGATCCTACTTTGGAGATCTCATTAATCTGTACATCCAAAATCAGCCCTTTAAATGCTTTCTGAATGCAGCTATGTGATCATCAAAAGAGTAAATTTGATTTAGCTTTAACATCTGCAATGGTAACCTTGAAAAGAGAATGATTCCAGAGCTGGCCAAATTTGAGCCAAGAATCAGAGGTAGCCCAAAAGGGGGAAAAAAAGAAACACTAAAAGATCTTAGCAAAAACTATATATGTATTTTTCTGTGCTTGACTTCATACCGAAATTAAATTGTCAATTCTCAAGCTGCAAAATAATTAAACTGCATTTCTTTCAGACCTAGGTTTTTTTTCTCTCTCTCTCTTCCCTGCCCAGCCATTGGGCTGTAGACTGATCCATGAAATTTTGGGACACGAATTAAACATGCATAGAAGATGCTAAGGCGCAAAGACCCTATAGTTCTCAACAAACTATACTTTTAAGCAGCAAAGTTTTCTCCTTAAAGCACTTAATGTGCCCTTTCATGTCAGAAGCAACCTATCCCAAAATCATAATAAATTCTATTTCACTCCAGACAGGATCATAGGTTCAGGGGAATCTCTGAGTATATAACCAATATTGCAGATATACCGCCCGCCCCCCAAAAAAAACCTTAAGCAAAAATGCAACTAGGAATAAGAAAGAATGAATTGCACTAAGGTCTTCGTTTACTATCTAGAGCAGCATTTCTCAACCTTGGCAGCTTAAAGATAGGTGGGCTTCAACTCCCAGAATCCCCCAGCCGGCGGCCTGCTTTAAGAGAAGCCCACCCCTCTTAAACATGTCAAGGTTTAGAATTACTGCTATGGAGAGTTGTAAGTTTTGAAAAGTAAAAATCAAAATACAGGATCCAAACTCACTTCCCTTCTTCTACAAGGCTTTCTTTCTACTTTCTTGGTCTTTTCGGGACTCCATTTTTTTTCCTCCTGTGCTAAGTTACTCACAAACTCAGAAACAGCACATCACCAACGCTTTCGGTAGGCTGAACCTTCCTAGACTACCTGCTATTCTTGAAAATGCAAAACAGGTCTCTTAACACACCTCGCAGGACACCGTGTTCAATATCCCACGGACAAGAATTTGATCCCGTGACTGATAAATTTCACATTACAGGAAGTCCTCGACTTACAAACACAACTGAGCCCATTTCCGCTGCTAAGCCTGACAGTTGTTAAAATGAGTTTTGCCCCGTTTTACGACCTTTCTCGCCATGGCTGTTAAGTGAATCACTGGGGCTGTTAAGTGAGTCACACGACTTGTCAGAAAGTCACAAAAGGGGGATTGATGACGTGACCCTGGGACACTGCGACCGTCATAAATTTTCTGATTTTTTTTGATCATACGACCCTGGGGATGCCGCATGAAAAACGGTCGTTAAGTCACTTTTTTCAGTGCCGTTGTTAACTTCGAAGAGCCACTAAATGAACGGTTGTAAATCGAGGACTAACTGCACTGGTCAGTAAACCCACAGCTACTTTAGCATAGGAAAATCCACTTTCTAATGGGAAGGCTTCCAGTCTGCTGAAAGTCCAAGTTTGCTCAAATTTACATTATTAATTCACTAATTAATTAATTATACTATGCAGGAGCCCAAATTCTGTCCTGTCGAGAGATGACCTGATCTTCATTTCTGTTCTACAGCCGAGCCAAATGGAAGCTTTTCATGCTTTAAAATCACACAGAAAATAATAATAATAATAATAATAAAATAAATCGGATCAAAATGGGAAGCAAACGCAGTAATGTTTGCTAGCATTAAGCCTCAAAAGCAGGCAGAGGATTCGACTTATACCGTTCTGTTACTCGTCCATTCGCTCATTCTCCTCCAGAAAGGGAACTTGCATGTGCGAACACAACAAAACACACACACACACACAGGCTTTAACGTTTTAAGCCAAACTACCAACTTAAAAGAGGGTTTCAACTTACTTTGAGGTCTTTCCAGCAGTCCAGCAGCTTGGTAGCCAGGTCGCTGAGGTCCAGCAGCTTGTCGGCCGGTTCCTGACTCCGTTCGCTCTCCGCATCAGAGACCCCTTCCTCTTCGTCTTGAGAGGGGGTCTCGGCAGCCACGGGGTCTTCCAGCTTGGGGATGATGCTCTCCTTGCTCTCCCCCTCGGGCTCTGCCTCCTGGTCAGCAGCGGGAACCTGGGTGGCGTCCATCAAGTCTTCGGTGGGGGGCTCCTTGACCGTCTCCTGCTCCAAGGGATGCTCGTCCGCGGCTTCGGCCGGGAGGTAGTCGGGATGCTCCAGGTCTTCCTTGTTCTCCTTCAGCTCCATCTCGCTGGCGGTGTCCGAGAGGGCGCTGTCCATGCTGTTCTCACTGATGATCTTGACCCTCCGGAAGGCCGCCTTCTTCGGGGTGTCCACCTCGCCCTCCAGGATCGGCTTGGAAGACGGGTCGGGCGTGTTGAGGGGCGTGTGAGCCCGGGAGGTGTTCTCGCTGGAATAACCGTCTCCTTCGCTCAGTTGTGGGACAGCCGATTTGGTCCGGGCCCAGCGCTGGATGATCGGAAGGACTTTGCTCTCCTCCAGCATGTTCTTGTTAGGGATGGGCAGGAGCTCCAACGTCTTGATGATCTGTCACCAAAGGCAACAGGAAGAGGGTCAGTTCCCCCTAACCGGCCCCGGGTTACAGTTCCAGGCCCTCTAAGGGAGGAACGCCTTACATCTGGACGCCCGTATGTGGACGTCCGATACAAGAAAATAGTTACAGCTGAGGGGCTCCTTGGTAGTCTCTCAGCTTGGTGGCACTGATGAAGTCACCTAGCTTGATCATGAAAGGTCTGCAAGGAAGCCACCCAGCTCAGACAGCCCCGAGGACCCCACAGTCTTTTTTCTCCTCTTCCTCCCTTCTAGCACTGACGACGTTCCCTAGTTGGGTCATGAAAGGTCTGCAAGGAGACTACCTAGCTCAGAGGGCATCCAGGACCCCACAGTTCTCCTCCTCCTCCTCCTCTCCCTTTCTCCTCCTCTCAACAAACCCAGCTCCCTTCTAGCATTGATGATGTTACTCAATTGGTTCATGAAAGGTCTGCAAAGAAACCACCAAGCTGAGAGAGTACCCAAACCCCCATAGCCCTCCTCTTCCTCTCTGCAATCCCCCCCTTCTAGCCCTGATGATGTTACTTAGTTGGGTCATGAAACATCTGCAAGGGAACCACCAGGCTCAGAGAGCACCCAGGATCCCACAATTCTAGATTTTGGCCACCCACTGTTGGAGGATCACCAGAAGACCACCTGCTGTTTCCTGCAGGGAAACTAGAGATACTATGTCTGCAGGGCTTAGAATATACCTGAGAATGTAAGAGGAGTGGCAGTGCATCATAGGTTTGGTGTTCTCCTTTCCAGCTGCTCAGAAAAGCAAGTCTCACCACTCATGCTCTCTGGCAACTGGGAGTTCTCTAATTACGAGCTCCAAAACTGGCCTTCCAGATCAGCGTTTTTCAAACTTGGCAATTTTATGTTGTATGAACCTCAACTCCCAGAATCCCCCACCAAGTATGCTGGCTGAGGAGTACAGGGGGTTGAGGTCCTCCCGTCTTAAAAGCATGCTGGCTGGAGAATTCTGGGAGTTGTAGTCCACAAATCTTAAAAGTTGCCAAGGCTGAAAAACACTGTTTCTAGAATATAAAGTCCTATGAAGTCCAAAAATGGCTCCCAGTTTTTGACTATAAGCAACGTTTGGGAGATACACTAATGTTGAAGGTCACAGCAAACACTGAGAATGGAGCTATAATTAATTCCTAATTATCAAAGTCTGGAAATAATTTGCTTTAAGGCCAGCTACTCCCATATAATTTGTGATGTAAGTTTGAAATTAATGTATGACAGCCAAATCGGGAAATGTCTTTTGCAGTGTTAAACACTGAATAACGGAAAGCATTATTTAAAAAAAAAAAAAAAGATTAAATGAAGGCCTCTCATCTGAGATTAATTTAAAGCTTCGGGCTGCTTACGTGTCAAATGCAACTGTTTTCCCACGTTCAAACGAGCCTCTGCCCACAGAGGGGGATTTAAAAGTGTTCTCAGAAGGACTGGTCTGATCTGTACAACCGATTCTGCAAAGTGGTCCCCCCCCCCCGCCGCTTAAAAATGTGATCCTAAGTGTCATTGTAAGCGAAGAAAACGATGCTCAGGTGGGACGGCGTGATGCAACATGGGAAATGGAAAACAGATTCCTTTGGTCTCTTCAGCTAGCTCTGATGATGTTACCTAGCTGGGTCGTAAAATATTTCCAAGAAAACCACCCAGCACCAGGGACCCCTCAGTCCTTCCTCCTCCTCCTCCCTTCTAGCACTGATGATGTTCCCTAGATGGGTCAAGAGACGTCTGCAAGGAAACCACCCAGCTCAAAGGCCACCAGGGACCCCACAGCTCTTCCTTCCTCCTCCCTGCATCCCCCCTCCCTTCTAGCACTGATGATGTTCCCTACTTGGGTCATGAGATGTCTGTAAGCGAACGTAGCTCAGAGAGCACCAAGGACCCCACAGTCCTTCTCTCCCCCTTTCTCCCCTTCTCCTTCTTCTCTACTCCATTCCTTCTAGCACTGATAATGTTCGCTAGTTGGGCCACGAAACGTGTGTAAGCAAACCACCAAGGATTCCCCTCTCCGGCTCCTTCGTTCATCTCAACACCTTCCCATCAAGGTGCAACCATGCCATTCCAGCCACGGACCTCCAGCTGCAGTTTCAGACTGTTGGCTGTGTTTCCTCTGCTGTCCCCGAGCTCTGCCATCCAGATCCAGAGGAGGGACAGGCCGTGGCACTCCAGGAAGGACTTCAGACAGGCCTGAGAATGGGTGTTCTTTAAACAAGAAAGAAAAGGGGGAGAAGGAGAAGATGACCAAACCGTTTTCTGGAACCTCAGTTAAAAAACAAACAAACCAAGGATGAGATCATGAGGATCAGCAGGGTTAAGATTCATCATCTTAAGGCCTAGTCTGTCTGTCTCTCTCTCTCTCTCTCTCTCTCACACACACACACACACACACAGAGAGAGAGAGAGAGAGAGAGAGAGAGAGAGAGAGAGAGAGAGAGAGAGAGAGAGAGAGAGAGAGAGAGAGAGAGAGAGAGAGAGAGAGAGATTCCAAGGCGCTTGAAGGCAGGACAAGAAGCAATGGATGGAAACTAATCAAGGGGAGAAGCAACCTGGAACTAAGAAGAAACTTCCTGACAGTGAGAACAATTAACCAGTGGAACAACCTGCCTCCAGAAGCAGTGAATGCTCCAACACTGGACGCTTTTAAGAAGAGACTGGACAGCCATTTGTCCGAAATGGTATAGGGGTTTCTGCCTGAACAGGGGGTTGGACTAGATGACCTCCAAGGTCCCTTCCAACTTTATGATTATTGTATTATTTAGGTAGGTAGGTAGGTAGGTAGGTAGATAGATAGATAGATAGATAGATAGATAGATAGACACACACATATATGTAGGTATGTAAAAACACCATCATCACAATTGTTGCCTTTAAAATGACAAAGGAGGTTATGATGATCTGGTGAGATTTCAACTTGGCAGCCTCTGCCGACTGAGTTTCTCACTGTGTTGGCCCCTTGGTGGGGTGATCTTCTGCGAGAGAAGGACCAGGCTGGACCTCTCAGATTCCTCTCTGTATTAGGCCACGGAGTTAGAACTGATCCTAACTGGATTACAAGGTAATCCTCGACTTACAATAGTTCATTTAATGACCGTTCAAAGTTACAATGGCACTTATGATTGCTTGACTTACAAACATTTGGGGCATCCCCACAGTCACATAAGCGAAATTCAAACACATGGCAACCCGGTTCGTTATTTATGACGATTGGAGCATCCCGGGATCATGTGACCCTCTTTGGTGACCTTCTGACAAGCAAAATCAACGGGGAAGCTGGATGCAATTGTGTTATTAACCTTAACAACTGTAGTGATCCACTTAATAACCGGGGCAAGGGAGGTCGTCAAATGGGGCAAAATTCACTTAACAAACGTCCCCACTTAACAACAGAAATTTTGGGCTCAAGTTGAGGAACACCTGTGTAGAATCCAATCCGATTAAAGCGGGTGATGGAACGGCTCCTACTTGCGACTATAGAATCCAATCCAGATTAAAACCTGGCTTGTCCTCCAGAATCAGTTTTTGACGTGGACAAACAAGCAGGAGATGTTCTCCTGGGGTGTTCTATTACAGGGGCCTCCAAGCGTGGCCCCTTTTAAGACTTGTGGACTTCAACTCCTAGAATTCCTCAGCCAGCATGACTGGCTGGGGAATTCTGGGAGTTGAAGTCCAGAAATCTTAAAAGTGGCCACGTTTGGAGACCTTGTTCTATCAGATACCACCACCAAAGGGCACCCAGGTTTGATTTAAATAGAGGAATGTCCAACTTAACCCAAGATGCAGCTCAACTTGAATGCAACTCAAAGATGTGGTGGAAACCAACCACTCTCCTTCGCACAGACCATCATTAGTAAGTGAACACAGTAACCATGATTTGTTAGCCCCAGCTCGAGACTTAGGGCGATGTGTGAAGCAGGCAAGGGGAACTTTAATTCAGTTCTTGAAGGTGGCAATGGATTGGATGAAGGTCAAAAGGAAGTCAAACCAGAGAGAACTTTTGTTATTTGTTTGTTATATGTTAGCCAGTGACCCGTCTGCTTGGCCGAAGGGGGAATGTTATCCTTCAGGATCAGGTGTGGTTGTGTCCTTCTGTCCTGCATTGTTGGTCCTCATTTAGCAGAGCTGACTTAGTTTGTCTGCCTTGGGCAGAGGCTGGTTGTGATTACAACTGATGAAAAAGCCCCTTCACGACCAACACTCAAGAGTTACGACCATCACTCCATGTGTCATAAATCTGCCATTACAGTGAGTTAATAGGCATTGTCCTGTGTCTGATGGGCTTCTCTCTCTTCCCATCCCACACGGTGGGAACATGACCTAAGAAATGTTCCTTCCAAAGCTGCTTTTTCTCTATAGTGCAGTGAGTCTTTGAAAAATGCCATCCGGTGGTTAACGAGGTCAGCTCTCTGACCTTAATCAATTAAATTGATCCTTCCAGTGGCTGGCAACGTTTAGTGTATTCCTTTCAATGTGTGTTCCCCCATTGTGTGCTTGCTTACTCTCTTATAATCCCTTTCTCTCCAATGAATGTAAATAAAGGGAGTCCTTGACTTACAAGCATTTGTTTACTGACTGTTCTAAGATAGAATCGCTCTGAAAAAAGCGACTTATGATCGTTTTTCACACTTATGACTGTTGCAGCATCTCCATGGTCGTGTGATCAAAATTTATTGATGACTGTTTCCGCGTCCCGGGATCCCCTTTTGTAACCGTCTAACAAGTCCTTGGGGAAGCCAGATTCACTCAACAACCGTGTTACCAACTTAAGAACGGCAGTGATTTGCTTAACAACTGTGGCAAGAAAGGTTGTAAAATAAGGCAAAACTCACTTAAATGTCTCACTTAGCAACAGAGATCTTGGGCTCAGTTGTGGTCCTAAATCGAGAACTACCTGTACTATGCCCAACGTTAAGCAACACAGAACTACAGGCAGTCCTCATTTATGACGGCAGTTGGGATTAGCAACTCCATCACCAAGGGGGACAAGTTGATAAGTGAAATGTGATGTTACTGTAACTGACTTACAATAACAGTAACGGTGTTCGTTATGCAAGACATCACATGACTGCGATTTGGAAATTCCTGCCAGATTCTCCACTGATCTTACTTGATGGAATCCGGCAGGGGAAGATAACAAAATGGCGATCACGTGAGGACAGGATGCTGTGACCATCGTAAACGTGTGCCGTTTGCTAACCACCCAAATGGCAATTGTGTGACTGCAGACACTGTGATGGCTGCAAATCCAAGGACCAGACATAACACTCATTTTGCAGTGATGTCATAACTTCAAATGCTTGCTGAATGAGGAAGCCGCTAAGTAAACACTAACGATACAGATCAATAGGGCAGTTCTTCTAAGAACGAAGTGCTGGCTAGAAGTGTGATTAAGGGCCGTTTGGATGATATTATAGAACAGTGGTGGCGAACCTATGGCACGGGTGCCAGAGGCGGCACTCGGAGCCCTCTCTGTGGGCACACGTGCCATTGCCCCAGCCTCGCCTCCCCCCGTGACCCCCTCCTCTCCAGCAGCCCCCCTGGAGGAGAGTCGCCCCTGAGCGTGGCCCACCCGGAGCAGTGCAGCCAAGGACATGGCAGCCAGGCAGCATAGACAAGACTCTACCCTCACACCCCATCACGCACAGTTGATGCTGCAGGGCGCGGGCAGAGGGTGTGGCCACTATGGCGCTGCTAGGCTGCCTGGGCGATCTGCGGCGGACCCTGGAGGCGGTGAGTGGTCCTGTGGGCAGGTGGGATGGGGGGGCAGAGCAGGGGCAGGGCCAGTTTTTGGACACTCCGTCTCTGAAAGGTTCGCCATAGAACATGGAATAATAGGGTTGGAAAGGATCCTAGAGGTCTTCATCCTATTGGTCTAGGACTGAAGGTTTTGAATCGTGTTCAGTTTTACCCAATAAAAGGATCATTTGGTAAATAACCCATTGTTAGTATTGTGTAAAAGGCCGGTTTAAAAAATAGTTGGGCTTGACATATAAACATATATTTAATTCTGTTGAGGTCTCTGAAGGCTGAAGGCTGTTTAATGTAAATACAGGTAAGTCCTCATTTAGTGACTGCAACATGTGAAATGTTCACTAAGTGAAAATTGCAGTAGCCTAAGCGCGACCATTGCAATTATGACTTAACTACAGGTTTCTGTATTCGATTTTTTTTTATTATTTTTCATAAAGTGGACATTTTTAATAACCTTTTGAACATTCTGCTTCAAAGATCTCTTCAATCCCAACATATTTTTGTGATAAAAAATACACACTGTAATAATTTACTACCTTTCAAAACTTTGCATATTGTTATGACAATTTAAAGACATCGAGATTTCTAAAGTTTTAACACTGTAGCCATATGTTTTTAGCCTAAAGTAGCCTAAATAGAAAACAAAAAGGTTAAACCGAATCTCAACATAAAAAAAGTTAGTTTATTACACAAGTACAAAACTGGCCATCATGACGTTGCTTTAAAAAAATAAATCAGTTTTCAATTGTAGGACCTGTAAAGATCAAACTTAACCAGATATAAAACCCAAAATTAGTGTTTTTTGAATAAAGGCAAATTAAGTCTTTTTCTGTGATTTTGAAAATTTCAGATACGCTGACACAGCTGAGGGCTGACAATTGTCTGGATGTTTTATTCCTATCCCCGGAGAGGAATGGTAGAATTAACTTCCTTAAAGAATTCACTAATTTTCGTTTGTATTCTGTTTTCTCTTTTCCTCTTCATATATTTCGCGGTAATACTGCAGGATTTCAAGGATTCTCCCACGTACCCTTTCAAAACGTTCTGTGTCCGCATCCATCTTTTCCAATTCTGATAAAACTTTCTCAACGTCCGAGAAAACATGAGTCAATCTTTTCATGGTGAACTTTTTAGGCTTAATTTCTACCTGTTCTTCTTCTTCTTCTTCTTCTTCCCCTTCCTCCATCACCTGCTGGGTGAACAATTCTTCCCTTAGTTCAATTAAATCGTCATCGGAAAGCTCTCCCTCCATAGACGCTACCCACTTTTTCACGGCTTCAGCATCAATCTGTAAATTGAGGGCCTGGGAGAGGGTCAAAATGTTCTGGTTTGTTTTGTCCAAATATTCGTCAGGGTCGAATCCTTCGAAGTTCCTGACATGATCCGCAAAACGTTTTAAGCACTTTTCCCAAATGCCTTGCATGCAGGTCACACTGACACCCTGCCACGCCGTTGCAATGTTTCCCATGCAATGGAGGATGTCGTATCGTCTCCAAAATTTGTTCAAGCTCACCCTGCTCTTTGACATCGTGGCTATCGCTTCGGTCAAGACGGCCCGCAAATAAAACGCCTTGAATGCTGTGACAGCTCCCTGGTCCATCGGATGCAGGAGAGGGCCGGTGTTTCTGGGCAGGTGAACCACCTTCACATCTGGCTGGAGATTATTCAGATGCAGGGGATGTCCCGGTGTGTGGTTGACGATCAGGAGAATTTTAAAAGGAATTGTCTTTTGCAAGCAATAGTCCTTGACTTGGGGTGTGAAACAAGTCATCAACCAGTCCTCAAAGAGGGCGCGTGTCATCCAAATCTTCTGATTGGATTGGTAATACACGGGCAGGGTGTCCTGGACGAGGTTTTGGAACGCAAGCGGGTCCTCCGATTTGTGGATGAGAAACGGCTTCAGCTTGAACCCGGCGACATTTCCACCCAAGAGCACAGTGATTCGGTCGTGAAAGATTTTATACCCAGGCACAGTTTGGGTTCCTCGGTGCAGGCAGATGCCCTCTGGTAATTGTTTCCAGGATAACCTGGTTCTGTCCACGCTGAATATCTGTTCAGGCAAATAACCCCCTTCCGCTAGGACGTCATCAAGCTCGCCCAGGAACCGTCGGGCAGCGTCTTGGTCAAGGCCTGTGGTTTCCCCCTTGGTGGGTATGTTTTGGTAGTTAAATCTTCGCTGAAACCGCAGAAACCAACCGCGGCTGGCGTCGAAGGTTTGGGCCCAGGCCTCGCCGGTTCGCTCCTTCAGGGTTGCAAAAATGCTGAGTGCCTTCTCCTGAATGTGAGCGAAGCTGATCAGGTTCCTCTTTCGGATCTGATCCTCGATCCAAAGCACCAGCAACTGTTCCATCTGGTGGATGAGGCCCGCTCGGTGTCTGGTTATGGTGGTGTCCGTTCCTGCGGATCCTTTGGCCAGCGCTTTGATCTTCTTCTTATCTCTCAAGATGGTCCAGACGGTGGTGTGGGCCAGGCCTTCTTCTCGGGCGATCAGAGTCGCCTTCTTCCCGGCTTCGTGCGCTGCAATGATCTTCATCTTCATGTTGAGATCGATGGACGCCCTTTGCTTCTTGACATTCCCTTTGGCTGAAGCGGGGGTCTCTGGGTTCGTAGACACGTCGGCAGGGGGCGTGCCCGGCGGGACGAGGCCTTTCCGTCGCCTTGTGATGGTTTTTCTGGTCCCTGGCAATTCCTTCAAGGCCTCCTTGATCCTTTTCGCATCCTTCAAAATCGTGAAGATGGTGGTGTGTCCCAGGCCTTCTTCTTTGGCGATAGTGGACGCCTTCTCCCCACTTTCGTACGCTTCGATGATCCTCATCTTCCGATCAAGACTGATGGATGTCCTCTGCTTCTTGATGATTCCTTTAGCTGATCTGTGGGCGGTAGGCTTTGTAGAAACCTTGGCTGGGATTTGGGGAGGTGGACAACTTGGTACAGGGGGCGACTGGGCGGGATTTGGGTTTGTAGACACATTGGTATGGGGTGCAAGTGGGCGGACGTGGCCTTTCCGTGGTTTTGTGATAATTGTTCTTGTCCCTGGTAATTCCTTCATGGCTTCCTTGATCCTTTTCTGATCCCTCAAAATGGTGAAGATGGTGGTACGGGCCAGGCCTTCTTCTTTGGCGATAACCTGCACCTTCGTCCCGGCTTCGTATGCTCTGATGATCCTCATCTTCACATCAAGACTGATGGACGTCCTTTGCTTCTTTTTGCTACGCCCTTCAGCGGAACTGGGGGTCTTCGGCTTTGGAGATGCCTTGGTGTGGGTTATACGTGGGTGGACGAGGCGTTTCCGTGGCTGTGTGATAGTTTTTCTCGTCCCTGGTAACACCTTGAGGGCTTCTCGGATCCTTTTCTTATCTTTCAAAATTGTGAAGATAGTGGAATAGGCCAGACCTTCCTCTTGGGCGATAATCTTCGCCTTCTTCCTGGCACGGTATGCTTTGATGATCTTCATCTTCAGATCAAGACTGATGGACCTCCTTCGCTTCCTTCTGCCTCCTTCAGCTGAACTAAAGGTCTTACGCTCCGAGGACACCTTAGTGTGGGGTCTAGATGTGTGGGGGAGGTCTTTTTGCTGACCTGTCCTTGGTGAGCCATTCACGGCTTCTCTGACCCTTTCTTTATTTTCCAAATTGGCTGAGATGGTGGAACAGGTTAGGTCTTCTTCTGCTGCTATCACATCCACCTTCTTCTCGGCATCGTGGGCATCGACGCTCTTCATCTTCAGATTGAGACCAATTACGGAATCCTTGTTACTACTTTCATCTGTCGTGGGGTCCTCTGGCTTCAAAGGCGTCTCAGTATGGGGCGTAATTGTGGGGGTGAGACCTTTTTGCTGACTTGCTATGGTTGTCTTCATCCCTGGTGTTTTTTTACTCTCCTTTCTGATCTTGTTCTTCAAAATGGCTGGGATGGTGGAACAGGCAAGCACTTCTTCTTCTTCTTCTTCTTTTATCTCATCCATCTTCTTCCCGGCATCGTGGGCATTGACTTTCCTTTGCTCCCCGCTACTTTCTTCATCTGAAGTGGGGTCCTTGGCCTTTGAAGACATCTTGGTATGGGGTACAAAGGCGCGTAAATAGTAAATAAGCAAGTGAAAATTAAGAGAAGGTTATACGCGAGACCGGTTTAACTAACTGTAATGGCAAACTCAGAGGACTGGAATGGCACAGGGTTGGACTGGAAGACCTCCAGGGTCCCTTCCACCTGTGTTGTTCTGAAATCTTATAGCATCTCCTGCTTGAGCAGGGGTTGGACTAGAAGACCTCCAAGGTCCCTTCCACCTCTGTTATTCTGCTAATTCTGAGTAAGATACAGCAAAGGTCGTAAACACGGACATTGGTTGCAAAGCTATTTTTCATTTACAGGGAGTCCTCAACTTACGACCGCAATTGGGACCAGAAATTCTGTTGCTAATCAAGACAAGTCGTTTTAAGTGAACCACGTCCGATTTTACGACCTTTCTCGCCATGATGTTAAGCAAATCGTTGCTGTTGTTAAGTCTGCCACACGGTTGTTAACCTGGCTTCCCCCACTGATTGTGCTTGTCGGACGGCAGCTGGAAAGGTCACCAGTGGCGATCACAGGCCCCCAGGGCACTACGACCACCCTAAATACATGCCATGCGTCCGAATTTTAAACACGTGATTCTGGGGAATGCCGCGACAGTCATAACCGAGAGATCACTTTTTTCAGGGCTGTTGTAACTCCGAAACAAATGGTTAGAAGTCGAGGACTGCCCCTATTGCCCACATATTTGCGATGGGTGGCTATCTGACGTTATTTGCTAAACTGGGGGGGGGTGGCCTTAGAAGAGTTTCAAGGTGTTTTTCTTTTCTATCATAATCAAAAAGGGAGGGAAGAGGAGCCGCTAAAATAATGTGGCATCAGCTGCTGCTTGTGGAAAAAAATTAACGACAGGGACCCTTCTTTGCAACAGCAATGATGCATTTAGCCCAATTTGGCAACATCTTCCCAAAGGCAGAATTTGCAGTTTGGCATAAAATCCAGGGGCTTTGATCTAACCCCTGTCACAAATCCCCGGAGGCTTCCCGGAAAATTATCGGAAATACAGGTAGTCCTCGGCTTATGACCACAATCAAACCCAAAATTTATTACATTCCTAAGTGAGAAATTTGTTAAGTGAATTGTGCCCCATTTTATATGAACTTTCTTGCCACAGCTGTTAAGTGAATCACCGCAGTTGTTAAATTAGTAACACCGTTGTTAAACCAATCTAGCTTCCCCCTTGAAGGAGGGATCACTTGACCTTAGGACACGTCATAAATACAAGCCAGGTGGCCAAGCGTCTGAATTTTGATCCCATGACCACGGGGATGCTGCAATGGTTGCAAGTGTGAAAAATGGCCGTAAGTCACTTTTTTAGTGCTGTTGTAATTTTGAGCTAACCATTATAGGTCAAGGGATACCTGTAATTTGAAGGGCCAATTTTTTCGTGCTTCTTCCTCATAGAATTCTCCATTCGGTCAGATAAGAATTTGTTCTAAATTCAGCGTTTCTTAACCGTGGCCCCTTGAAGATAGGTGGACTTCAGCTCCCAGAATTCCCCAGCAAGCAAATTCAGCTGAAGCCCAGCCCTCTTAAAGCATGCCGGCTGGGGAATTCTGGGGGTTGAAGTCCACCCATCTTCAACGGGTCACGGTGGAGAAACCCTGTTCTAAGCAACGCAGGTAAAAAATTACTGATTGGTTTCAAAGAAGGAGGACAGCCTCTGGTTCACTTTTGCTGAAATCTCTCGCGCGTTTTAAATAAAGAATGAGAATCCCAAATTTCCTACATCAATAACTCCCAACCACCCCCAGGCCATTAAAAATCACATTTATTTCTCCTTGTCTCCAAGCCTCCAGTTAGCACCCCTGGATTAGTAACCAAGTCACCCAGCAAAAGATGGGACAGATGGTCTCACCTGGATGAGTTTGAGACAGGTGAGCTTTTGTTCAGGTGTCTCGGTTCGCACCATCAAGCGGGACAAACTGAGGACTTGATTCTTATCAGAAAGCCCTTCGCCGTTCTCTAGCAGAGCTTCTAATTCTCCATCCACCTACGAAGAGCCAAAGAACAGATTCTAGAAAAGGCCCACAGAACCGCCCCCCCGTCTCAGGCTGAGCTGGGGGGGGGTTGGTGCCTCTCTGAGCTTGTTTTTCTTGCATGTTTCATGAGCCAACAAGGTAATCACTGCAGAGGAGGAGGAGGAGGAAGAGGAGGAATTAAAGCCCTCCCCTCTTGAAGCATGGCCGGCTGGGGGATTCTGGGAGTTGAAGTCCCCCCCTCTTAAAGCATGCCGGCTGGGGGATTCTGGGAGTGGATGTCCTCCCCCTCTTAAAGGAGGCCGGCTGGGGGATTCTGGGAGCTGAAGTCCCCCCCTCTTAAAGGAGGCCAGCTACGGCAGTGGTTCTCAACCTTTTTAATGCCGCGACCCCAACCGGTCGTAAGTCGAGGACTAAACCGGTCATAAGTCGAGGACTAAACTTGTCGTAAGTCGAGGACTAAACCGGTCGTAAGTTGAGGACTACCCAACCGGTCGTAAGTCGGGGACTTTCCCTGCCCGGGAGCGCCGCGCATGCGTGGTTCCGCCCCCTGCGCCGGCTGAGGCGTAGCTGGCAAGCGGCAGAGACGGAGCAGGCCGACCACCAGCTGGCCCAGCCCAAGGGAGGTAAGGCACCCGCCGGAAAAGGGGAAAAAAATGGCAGACAAAAAAAAATGGCGGACAGCCTTGCTTGGCGACCCCCGTGAAATGGTTGATCGACCCCAAATGGGGTCCCGACCCACAGGTTGAGAACCACTGAGCTAGGGGATTCTGGGAGTGGAAATCATCCCCTCTTAAAGCATGGCTGGCTGGGGGATTCTGGGAGTGGAAGTCCCCCCCTCTTAAAGCATGCCGGCTGGGGATTCTGGGAGTTGAAGTCCCCCCCCTTAAAGGAGGCCGGCTGGGGGATTTTGGGAGTTGAAGTCCCCCCCCTCTTAAAGCATGGCGGCTGGGGGATTCTGGGAGTTGAAGCCCTCCCCTATTAAAGCATGTTGGCTAGGGGATTCTGGGAGAAGTCCACGCCTCTTAAAGTGAACGTTTGAGAACCACTGGTCTAAAGTTGCAGAACATTGTTTTTTGTAGCAGTGGCAACAAAAATACAGATCTACACTTACATGAGGAAGAGCATGGGAGAAAGCATCACAGTGAACCGTTGTGTCTACAATATCACAATGTGACAATTAGGCTTTAGGGCTCTCACACACTTGGAGGGCAGCACAAAAGGACTCCAAAGCCGCCTCAGTCTCTCTCTTGGGCTAAGGAGAGTGACAAGGATGCTGGTTTGTTGATCTGGAGCATCTGCCCAGCCCTTCACAGCTTTGGGGGACTGTGGGAGATCCAGGGGCATCCGAAGGAATCCTCCAAGTGGCCCGTTGTTTTTTTTAAGTCGCCCTCCCCCACTCCCTCAGTGCTTACCGAATCTTTTTTACGCGACCGTTCCTTTTTCATTTTGCCTCCCGCAGCGCGAATGCTGACCCGGTTCTCTCCACCCAGATAACCCCGACAGTTGGCGGAACCACAGAAACATTTCTGGGCTTCTTTGCTGTTGGAAACACACATTCGGTGAGGGACTGAAACAGGCTTCATCTCATCTTTGTCTCTCCATCTTTCTATTTCTCCATCATGTATGCATGTATGCATGTCTGTCTGTCTGTATGATCTCTCTTTCCATCCATTTGTCTGTCTTTCTGTGCCTGTCTGTCTGTCTATCTATGCATATCATCTGCCTGTCCGTCTGCCCCTCTTACATTCCTATCCTCATCTATCATCCCTCCCTCCCTCTACATCAGTGTTTCTCAACCTTGGCAACTTTAAGGCACGTGGACTTCAACTCCCAGAATTCCACAGCCAGCGTTGCTGGCTGTGGAATTCTGGGAGTTGAAGTCCACGTGCCTTAAAGTTGTCAAGGTTGAGAAACACTGCTCTACATCCTCTGTCTATCTGCCTGTCCTACCTTCCTATCCTCATCTATCATCCATCCATCCATCTCACCTCGCAGTCAATCAGCACACGAGGAAAGAAATGCCGCTGCAGCCGCGCATGGAGCTCCGGCCTGCATTTCGCAGGAAAGGCATAGCTCGGTTCTCGGCTGCACGGGCCTTCCAGAAAGGCCTGTGAGAGCGAAATGCAGGCCGGAGCTCCACGCACAGCTGCAGAATGAAGCTGCTCCTTCGGCCGCAGAAAAAGTGGACCGGCGAGGTGGGGCAGGTGTGTCGATTCATGGGAGGCCTGGTAAGTGGGTGTGGGGCGCATGGGGCAGTTCCACTTCCCTACCCCCCATGCTAACTTGATCTTTAGGCGTGCGCCTCGCCCCAAAACTAGAGCTTATTTTGGGGGCACGGCTTATATTAGACCCACTCCCAAAAATCAAGTTAGGGCTTATTTTCGAGGAAACATGGTATCTCATCTGTGTTCTGTCCCCGTCGGACACACACACCCAAACAGCCAGCCGAGGGTTAAAGAACTCCTCCACACTCCAATCCACAGATAAGAAAAACTTGGCAGCAGCTCCGTAGCTGCCTGCCAAGACTTTTACTCAGAGAACAAAAAACAATACAGTTAGAAAATGAAGTCCACAGCAAACTACTTCACCAGAGATTCAGCTTTGTCCGTCACAAGAGTCCAAATGGCCACCACCTCCCTTTTATAGCCTGTGGGGTGTGGTCCAGTGACTCAGCTTAATCTCTGGCACGTCTCTTTTTCTGCTGCGCACGCTTGTCGCTGCTGGCGTGGATCCAGCCACAACTTCTCTTCCTCACTATCTGAAACACCTGGCTCCTGGCCAATCTGAGAAACACCTGGCTCCTGGCCAATCTCTTCTCCGGGAGACACCTGAGGCATTGCCAAAGAGGAGGGTCCTGGAGAGGGAGGCCTAGCCATCTCCTCTCCTTCATGTTCGGAGCCTTCTTCCTTCGATAAGAGGGGCTCACAAGACGGAGCCACAACCTGTTTATATCTACCTATGTCTCTCTTATCTCTATCTGCTGTCTGTCTCTCTACCCATCCATCCATCACATACGTATGTATATCTCTGTCTGTCTATCTCATCTACCCCCCCCCCTCTCTCTCTCTCTCTCTCTCTCTCGTATTTCTCTATCATCCATCTCTATCAAAGAACTAATGCTAATCAACCCTGAATTAAAACATCTTCTGTATCATCTAGACAACACCATGTACCAAGCAGGTTTCTTATTCTCACATTCAAGATAGTCACCCTACCTACATGAGCTACTCTGATTTTAAGACAAATGACTCCCTTTTCCTCCCTCCCTCCCTCCTTCCTCTTTTCCCTCCCTTCCATCTTCCTTCCTTCCTTCCGTCTCCCCTCCCTCCCTCCCTCTTCCCCTCACCTCTTTCCTTCTTTTCTTCCTCCGTCCCTTCAATCTCCTCTCTCCTCTCCTCTCCTTCTTTCCCTCCCTCCCTCCCTTTCGTTTCCTCCCTCCTTCAATCAAAAAGATATTTAACAAGAAGTTGGAAAGACTGAATTCCCCAAACTAATCTGCTGCACTCTCAAATATATTGCAGAGTTCAATTTCTTCTCTGCAAGAATAATGGAATATTTCCAAGAAGATAACCTGCAGAATACTATAGCTCTTCCTACTCAGAAGGGAAATAGCAAAGAAATGTGATTAAAGGAAGGAAGGAGCACCTACCCATATCGCTGGAACTGGTAGTCGAAGGTTAGCTCAGAGCCAGAAGTTACTAGCTTGGTGGTGAAAAAGCCAACCCTCAGCTGTCCATTCACTGTCCACTAAAATCAGGAGGGCAGAGGACAAAAGAGGACAACAGGATTAAACTGGAACTTTATAATGGGCAGCATCTTAATTTTTAAATGTGCTGTAAATCACGGCTGCTTTGAAATACTTGGGTTTCAGACTGCCAAAAGATATATGTTTACACAAACATATACACAGCCTGAGGAACTGCCAACACAAAAGGGGGAGCAGGAGGACACACAACCAACAGAACTTAAAATCCAGGTTGTATAATTTGCCCCCTCGACTTTAATTTAAAAACACCTCTCTTCAAATTGTCAGTCCACGGGGGGGGGGGGGGGGGAGTTGTGCCAACGTTACCGTTCCACGACTCACCTTCTGTGTCTCACAATTTGGCTCGCAGCTGTGGTTCATGAAACGAGAGCAATTTCCTTTTTGCGTGGCATCGATTATCTGAAAAGGGAAAGGAAACCGTTGCAGAGCTAGTCCTCATTTAACGACCTCTTGTTCTGCGACCGTTCAAAGTTACATTGCAGCTAAAGAAGTGGGACTGACCGATGGCTGATTTGTGGCCTTTCCTGCCGGTTTCCTTCAAGCAGAGTCAGTGGGGAAACCAGTGGGAAATTGCAAGTGGCAGTCACGAGATGTCCTCGCTTAACAACCATGCAGGTTTTGTTTAACAGCGGCAACTGGAAGTCATGGAACTCCTGTCCTGAGTCAGTATTATGGCCACATGCTTAGTGGTGAGTTATCTCCAAATTACTGTGGTTAAACAAGGACTACTAATGCCTCTTTTAGGGGGGGGGGGACCTGCCTCAGTTAAGCCTCCCAAGAAAGCAGAACTCCTGAAACTTGCATTGTCTCAACAGGAACTTTTACTGGAAAGTATTGACAACAGGATAGTAAGGCAGGATCTGAGCAAGCTAGAAGGGGAGCTCATCAAATTTGCAGATGACACCAAACTGGCAGGAGCAGCCAACACCCCAGAAGACAAACTCAGTATCCAAAAAGATCTTGACAAACTTGAACAACGGGCCCTATCCAACAAAATGAGTTTCAATGTGGAGAAAAGCAAAGCTTTACATTTAGGCAGGAAAAAAAAACAAAGGTACAAGTACAGATTAGGCTCAAAAACAGTGAGAGGGGCCTTGGAGTCCTAGTGGACGATCACTTGACTGTGAGCAGTGTGTAGCAGCAGCCCCAAAAGCTAATACAATCCTGGGGTTGTATAAACAGAGGCATAGAATCAACATCACGTGAAACAATAAGACACGTAGAATACTGCAACCAATTTTGGTCACCAGACTACAAAAAAGATGTTGGAACCTTGGAAAAAGTTCAGAGAAGAGCAACTGAAATAATCCAAGGCCTGGAGACCAAAACGTACGAAGAACAGCTGGAGGACTTGGGCTTGGCTAGTTTAAAGAAAAGAAGAAACAGGGGAGACATGATATTAATTATTCCAGTATCTGAGGGGCTGCCACAAAGAAGAGGGGAGGTGTCAAACTATTCTCCAAAGCACCAGAGGGCAGGAGGAGAAACAATGGTTGGAAACTGATCAAAGAGAGAAGCAGACTGCAATTAAAGAGAAACTTCCAAACAGTGAGGACAATTAACCAGTGGAACAGCTTACCTCCAGACATCGTGGGCGCTCCATCACTGGAGGTTTTCAAGAAGAGACTGGACAGTCACCTGTCTGAGACGGTGTAGGTTCTCCTGCTTAAGGGGGGGAGGGGGCGCTGGACTAGAAGACCTCCAAGGTCCCTTCCAGCTCTATTCTATTATATTCTGCTTTCAAAAGATTTCCTGCCAGAAATGTTAAGATTAAAAGAAACCCATTCAAACCCCACCCCAACGGCCCAGACGGCTGGTTCAAACTGAGCCAATCCACCGGTGTCAAATTGTTGTGAGAAAGAACTGATAAAACGGCCATTCTCAAGGCTGCCAGGTTTCTCTGTGGTGTCTTCCCTCAGCCTGGAGATAAGGCAGAGATGGCGGGAGGCACATTCCATTCTCATGCCAGGAAAGATACCTCAAAAAGGATAGACTGCAAAGCAAAGGAAGGACATTGCAGAAGACCCATAGCCCCCCCCGCTCACCCCCATTAGAACGGCAGGACCCGAAAAATGGAAGGATAGGAAAGAAAGGCAAAAGGCATAGGGGGTTCTGACAGAGAGAGAGAGACAGAGACAGAAAGAGAGAGAGAGGCCCTGACTTGGATTTTTAAAAAAATGAACAAAACATACAAAAACGCACACAAGTGTACGTAAGCTATGCCGGTTCCATTGTAAAAAACAGCAACTACTGCCCAGAGATTCTCTATAAATATAATCCTTGATTTACTAGCATAATTGGGACTAGAATTTCCACTGTTAACCAAGGCGGTTGTCAAGGGAGCCAGGCCTGATTTTTATGACATTTCTGGCTGTTAAGCGAATCACTGCAGTTAAGGGAGTTATTTAGTCGTTAAGTGAATCCGGCTTCTCCTGGATTTAATATTCGGAAGCTGGCTTGGAGGGAGGGAGGGTCACAAATGGCAATCACGTGATCCACGGACGCTGCAACCGCCGTATGTACATGCCGGGTGCCAAGTGCTTGAATCTTGATCACATGACCATGGGGATCCTGCAACTGTCATAAATACGAGCCAGTTGCCAAGCACCCGAATTTTGACTGTGTGGTTGTGTGAATGCAGAGGTGGTTGTAAGTGTGAGGACTGCTCGTATTTCACTTTTTTCAGAGCTGTTGTAACTTCAAACAACCGTTAAGCCACTTTTTAAATCGATGGCAATTTGTATCAAATTAAAGTAAAGCAAATAGACAAGAGCCGTTGTGACTTTGAACAGTCGCTAAACAAACGATCGTAAGTTGAGAACGACTTACAGCAAGTTATCCGCGCTAACACGCATAAGCATTTAATAAGAATCTCCTGGGACATCCTCTGAGTAATTATTAGTCTTTCAATTAGCGCAGCACAATATTGTTACAAGTATTCACTGCATTTAGAAGTCACGTGAAAAGAGGGTAGAATTTACCCGCAATCCTATCCCACCCAGGTTTAATTTAAACTCTGTTTAAACACCATCTTTTACTCACTGCTCCCAGCCACAGCATCGGCTGCAATTCTTAATATTTTTTACCACAAATGTTGACACTCACTTCATCGTTTTTCAAGGCCATGAAGTAATAATGGATGTTCTTGTTTCGGGCGTATTCCTTCACTCGGGTTTTGAATTCTTTGTGATCCAGGACTTCTCCGCAGTACTCCAGGACAAAGGTGTTACTAAGCAAACCGAAAGGAGGATTAAAAAGAGGGCAAAAAAGGCACAGAAATCTAACACACAGCGGTACCTGTATCTTTATCTATCTCTTTCGAGAAGGAAGGGCATCAGAATTTCATTTTAACCTGTACCATTGTGTACACAGATTGTCTTCTCTTCGTGGTACCTGGGCTCTCACCAACAACTGAATCCAGGGGCAGGCGGTGGTGCCTCCTGGCAAATTTCCTGCCTTCAAGTGAATCACAGCTCCACAGTCCTCGCCTTACAACTACAATAGAGCCCAACATTTCTGTTGCTAAGCTGTGAAGAGAGTTTTGGGCCATTTTATGACTTTTTTTGCCATCGTTGTTAAGCGGATCAGTGCAGTTATTAAGTCACTGACACGGTTCTTAAGCAAATCCGCTTCCCCATTGACTTTGCTTGTCTGAAGGTTGTAAAAGGGGATCACGTGATGCCGAGGCACCGCAACCGTCATAAACACGAGTCAGTTGCCAAGTTGTCTTAATTCTGATTACGTGATTATATAAGTAAGTCATAAATGTGAAAAGCAGTCCTAGGTCACTATTTTCAGTTGTGTTGTTACTTTGAATCATCACTAAATGAATGGTTGTAACTCAAGGACTGTCTGCATCTATGTTCCTTCTTAAGAGGAAGACAGGAGGAGGAGGAGGAGGAAAAGTGGGTTTGAAGGCGTTTCATTTTAAATCCTTGTTAACTTCCAGATTTACTAATTGGGGAAGAGCCTCGGATGGTGTCTTCTCCCCATTTGGTTTAGTGATTAAGGTACCAGGCTAGAGAGCAAGGGGTGGTGAATTCTAGTCTCACTTGAGGCATGAAAGCCGTCTGGGTGACTTTGGGCCAATCACCAGGTGACAGTGAGTTCTAGTCTTGCCTTAGACAGCTAAGTCAATTGGGTAACTCTGAATCAAATCACCAGGGAACTGTGAATTCTAGTCCCGACTTAGGCTTGAAAGCCAGCCGGGTGACTTTGGGCCAGTCCCACTCCACCTCACAGGGTTGTTGTTGTGGGGAAAATTGGAGGAGGGAGGAAGATTAGATATATTTACTGCTTTGGGTTATTGATAAATAAAAGGCATGGTACAAAACACCAATAAAAAACATAAAAAAAAAAAACCACGACTGATAGAATCAGGAAGACAGAAGTGTGGCAGAGAATCCACCCCAGGCCCACAGAACTGGGACCGCTCTCTTTTTGCAAAATTTCTCTTCTTCTCAAAACGGAGCGCAGTTGGCGAAGTCTTACGAAGGGAGGTCCTTGGCCGCTCTGAGCCCCCAGCCTTTCTTCTCCGTCAAAATGACTTCCACGTCTGCGTGTTGCTTCCTCTGAAACCGCCGATTCGAACAATGCTCTCCGTTGGGACACCTTGAGGAACTGAGCACAACAGAGGGGAGGTTGACAAGCACACTGGAGCCGTGTCAGAATCTCTCTCAGGCCTGTATTCCCCGTCATACCTACCCAACCCAACAGAGCAGGGAGGCAAGAGATGTTATGGGTCCCCCCTCTTAAGGAGATCCATCTGGTGGGACCCAGAAGAAGGGCCTTCTTCGTGGCGGCTCCTTCCCTGTGGAACATCATCCCTACAGAGAGAAGACTGGCCTCTATGTTGACACTCTCAGCAGTGAGATCCTACTTCTAGGAAGTGGGAGAGGCAGGAAGGCAAGAAACAAATGAAAATTGGGGACTAGGTTCAAATCCTATCAATACAGGTAGTCCTCGACTTAGTGACAGACCTCCCCAGGTCTGCTTATGGCCCTCATTTGAAGTTTGACACCTGTCCTCCTACTGGTCACATGACAGCATTTAGGGCACTCAACAACTAGACCACGTTTATAGCTGTTTGCAGCGAGGCTACGATTCACGACTTTTTTTAATTTTATTTTTTGCTAAAAACCAGTATTTACTTCTCATTTTGGCAAAAAAACAAAAAAACAAAACAAAAACCCAAAACACACTCATTGTGGGTAAAGTATTTGTTAACGACTTTGACCTCCACCCAAAAAAAAAAAAAGTTTGTAAAATCAATCATGGGCATATGGTTATCTAAGTAATGACCAGCATTACTTAGGTCTTAGGATCATAGTTTTGGGCTCAATGACAGTTGAAAGTTGAGGATACCTGTTAAGATGCAGGTTATCTACCCACTACAGGTAGTCCTTGACTTACAACCACAACTGAACTCAAAAATTCTGTTGGCAAATGAGACATTTGTTTAGTGAGTTTTGCTCTATTTTACCACCTTTCTTGCCACAAATGTTAAGTGAATCACTGCAGTTGTTAAATTAGTGACACAGCTGTCAAGTGGATCTGGCTCCCCCCATTGACGTTGCTTGTCAGAAGATCACAAAAGGGGATCACGTGAACCCCCGGGGACACTGCAATCGTCATAAATATGAGTCAGTTGCCAAGTGTCTGAATTCTGATCATGTGACCATGGGGATGCTGGTATGGTGGTGTGAAAAACGGTCATTAAGTCACATTTTTCAGTGCGGTTGTAATTTTGAACGGTCACTAAATGAACTGTCGTAAGTCGAGGACTGCCTGTACATTTGTTCTGGGCAAAACAAAACCTCATGACTCCTAGCAAAGGAAGAAAAAAAAAGGAGGGGGGGGAAAACGCATATGTTCCTCATCCACCAATGTCTACTCAATGTCTACTGTTAAAATAAAAACATTGGGTATGTGCAACTTTTAACCATCAAGGAACGGATTCCGCTTGGTGGTGTGTTTTTCTCCCTGCACGGCGATGAAAAGGCAAAGGCAAAACAGGGTTTACCATTCGATCATCAGCAAACGGTTCAGACAATCCTCTCCGCACGCCACCTCTCCCTGGACTATTTCTTCTTTGGAAACGGTTGGACATTCGCACAGCATCCGCTTGATGTCCCGGTGCGACTTGTTCTTTTTTCTAAGGAGATTGTGTTACATTGACAAAAAAAATTTTTTTTAGGGAAATGTTTCTTTTGAACAGGATAAACAAGCCTGACCCAATTATTTTGCTCTCTCTTAACTTTGGGGTCTTATGTGTTAAGGCGAAGCAGAACCTCCGTTAAGTTCATTATTTAAAACTGTGTTTGGTGGACACACTGCTTTATGTTCGCAACTATGCGAAGTCACAGCTGTCGGTTGTGTTGGCCTTCCTAACCTATCCACCGCAGGTTGAATTCTGCGGCCACGTGAACCCACATAAAAGATGTAGGTACTCTTAATGAGTTGTCAGGCACTAGGATTAAATTCGTACCCGATCCAAATTCTGCAGCCACATGAACCCACAAAAAAGATGTAGGTACTCTTAATGAGCCGCCATACACAGAAGTAACTTCACACCCAATCCAATTTCTGCAGCCACATGAAGAAAGAAAAAGATGTAGCTCCTTTAATGAGCTGTTACCGGGTTGCACCTGCTAAGTAAATTCACACAAGTAAATTCACATCCGATCCAAAGCACTTTCTCCTCAATGGATATGAATGGTGCACCCTTTCCAGCTCTTCTTCTCGCTAGAGATCCCTGAGCAAGTCAAAAGTACAGGAAGGAATCGTAACGATCCACCCTGTTCTTAATCTTAGGCACAACATTTTAGATTCCATGGGATAGCAAAATCCTGCCCCTCCCCCTCTCAGAAGGGGTATGCTCAGGATCCTGTCAGGCAAGGAATTCCCGCTGGCGGGATCCTGGAGAAAAGCATTTTTCTGCCCAGGTCCCCGACATTTGGAATTTCATGCCCCTTGCGAGAGAGAATGACAGAACTGAGGGGGGCGAAGTGAAAAGGGACATCAGCCTGGAAAATTTACGAAGCTACAAGTGAGCTAAGTTCAATTCTCCTTGAATTCTGTTGACCCTTATCTAACTCTTAGCAGTTGCTACCCAGTAATTGAGAAGATACCTGCGGATAGATTTTTAGCAATAAATCAGGAGACGGTGAGTTCTAGTCCTACCTTAGGCATGAAAACCAGCTGAGTGATGTTGGGACAATTATTCAGGAGATGGGTGAGTTCTAGTCCCACCTAAGCCATGAAAGCAGGCAGGGTGACTTTGAGCCATTCACCAGGAGATGGGGAATTCTAGTCCTTCCTTAGGCATGAAAGCTGGATGGGAGATTGGGCCAATCACTGTGAGACAGTGAGTTCTAGTTCTGCATTAAGGCACCAAAAATAGCTGGGTGACTCTGGGCCAATCACCAGGAGACGATGAGTTCTAGTCCCGCCTTAGGCATAAAAGCCGGCTGGGTGACTTTGGGCCAATCACCAGGTGATGATGAGTACTAGTTTCACCCTAGGCACAAAAGGTGACCGGGAAACTTGGGATTAAGTACTGTTTCTCAGCCCAACCCACTTCACAGGGTTGTTAAAATACGACAAGAAAGTTATTGCGGATAGGTTTGCCGTCTTGAATTACTTGAAAAATTAATAAAGATGAAACGCAAATAAATAACATTACCTTTCTGTCAAATACACATTCTCTTCAATGAGGTCGAAGTAGCAGGGCATTTTCCCTTCCTTGGCACATTCCTTCCAACGCTGGGGGTCCCGGAAGTCTTCCATGAAACACAACGGATGATCCGTCGGGGAACCCGGAGGCAGGATGGGCAACGGCTCACTCTCTGTTTTGGTTTTCTTCCTTTCCTGGGAGCCCCCGTCGCTCTCCGAATCGCTCCCCAAGTCGGTTAACCTTTTCTTTAGCGGCCCCCGCTCTTTCATGTCATTTCTTTCCATCGCCTTTGCCCCTTGTTCTTTTCTCTCTCGGGATGTCGTTGGGAAGTCTTTGGCCGAGTTGCTGCTGATCTCGTGGGCCTGCACTGACCCCTTTTCCCTGGGGTCCCGTGACTGGAACTTCACCGACTGGTCAGGGAAATAGAGTTGGCTTTCGTCCACCCATCGGTCCACTTCTTCGTACTCCTCGTGATCCTCGGTGAGCGAATCAGGGACTTGTCCTTGTATACGCTCGTAACTAATTGCAGAAGGCCGGTTGGTCAGCCTTGGATCCCAGTAGCCACTGTCAGGCCAATAACCGTGAGACCCCATATACGGGCCTGGCGGTGGGGGGTAAACATAACCTGGGAAAACTCCATAGCTACTATCAGGTTGTTGGTATGTGCTGCTGGGCTTCTCGGGTTGGGAGAAATCCCACCCTAAACTCCCCAAGTCCTCCGTTGAATGAAAGCCGTCCTCCCGCGAGAAATCGGCAGGATGGGAAAGACCCGCAAACGCAGACCTTCCCTGCCTACGGTCCGGCTTGGAAACGTCGGCCTGCGACCTGGACATCGTGTTGGTCATTTCAAATCCGGAAAGGTAGTGTAGGTCGTCTCCTTGGGACGCGCCGACCGACCGAGTGACCGAGGTTGTCTCGCTATAGACGATTCTCTCGTCCGGCTTATGGAAAGCATCGGGGGCTGGCTCGGAGTGGCTGGTGCTGTCGACATCGTCGCTCTGAGGTTGGGAGGCCTGTGGCTGAAGACCCCCCGGCCCCTCGGTTCTCTTGAGCTCTGTCGACGTTGCTAAGCTTCTCTCTGTGTCTCTAGAAGGCAAAGCTCTGATTTCATTTGGCAGGTTGTTGTTCATTTCCAAACTATCCGGCATGTCTTCCGAGAACGGCTTGGTGGACTCGGGCCGGCTGTCTTCCCAGTGATCCAAGTAACGTCGATTACTTTGACTGTTTCGTGAAGAACACGAGCTGCTCTCTTCCAGGGTCAGGGTGGAATTCTTTGGAATGACCACCACGGATTGAAGGCGGTTCCTGGGAACGCTGCTATCATCCGAATCGGAGCCCTCGGTCTCGCTCTCGTCGCTCGGGTGCTCGCTCGCGCTTTCGGCCGTATCGGAATAATCTTCATTGTGGACAGAAGAGATTTCTGGAGTATTGCTGCCGCTACCGTATCTGGGCTCTTCTTCTATGGTTTCGGTTTCTTCTACGGTGACGACGATATGACAAGAAGGGGACAACATATCTGAAAAGGCGGATTCTATCAGAGAGTCTTCTTTGTCTTTCATCACCAAAACTCCAGGAGCTGGTTCATCCATGTCGGACGCCGTCCCTTCATCAAAGACAACTGCATCTTTCTCCTCAAGTTCCTCCTTCTCTGGTTCCTTCACTGGCATCTCTAAATAATAGCAATGCTCATTCTTCAAAGGAGATTTCACTTTTTGGACAATGGACTCTGCAGGCAGGATATCTAATTCAAGGGCAACTTCAGAACACATTAAGACTTCTTTAGCCTTCTGTTGGATGGGAGTCTCAAGATGGAGCATATTTTCAGAAGCTGGTTGTTGCTGTGCAACGTGCTGATTGTCTACTTCCACAAAATATTCTTCTGCTCTAAAACCTCTGACTGGGGTAGGCTCCACTGAACTGAAACCTGTGTATTTCTCATTTTCCTGAGCCAACTCGGATGGATTTTGATCCTCTATGTCAGTTGACGTGAAGGATTGAACGGGGATCTCCGCGTGAACGCCCGCAGGAGGTTCTTGAGTAGCTTCTGTGTCCGAAGGCTCCACTTCAATTTCAATTTCTGAATAACACAAAGAAACAGAGGCGTCCTCTGGCAAGTAGCATGGGGCGGGATCTTTGGTTTTACAAGAGGGATCTCTTGGATCACTCCCTTCCTTAGACAAGATTTTAGAGTGACTGACCTGCTTGGTAAAAGAAGATACGTATTCAGATGAAGCAAGATTTGAAATCTCAATTTTTTCTTCCAGCAGCTGAAGGTTGGATTCACCAGAAAAAATAAGAGACTCGTCTGGATTATGTCCTTTGGGTAGAGATAGGTTTTGGAGACCATCTGATGACAGTCTAGGACTTTTGGCTTGACGGGGTAGCTCAGGTCTATCTAAGTTATCGTCAGAAGACAGGTCAATCTCTTCTACTTCAAAAGAAGAGGATAATCTCTTCGGGGTCCTCCTTCCCGTGGACCCATTTGTATCCAGTTCTACTGGAGAAGATGTTCTTAAATGATCACCTCTTGTGTTACCTAAAGATCCCGGGTCAATACTGATATGGCTATCCATTCCTGCAAGTTCATTCGTCTTAGAAAGAGGAGAACCTGTTTTTGATTCCTCCAGCTTTCCGAATGTCAGTGAGTCACTGAACTGACTTACTGGAGAAAAAGTCCTCTCTGTTTCTGGCTTCTGCGAATGAGCGGTTTTTGTTTCGCAGCCTGGTACGCCAGAAGTCTCCGAGTCTACACAATTAGACTGATCTTTGATGTCCTCAGATTCTGTACAACAGAAAGAACTCTTAAATTTATCTGACTTGGGTTCAGATGACTTGGAAGAGGTGGGCTTGGATCGGGATGTATTCCCGCTGCCTTCTGCTTTAGAATGGGAGGCGTCCCGCCGATGTCGCAGCTCGCTGACAGGTGAGCACCTTTTCGATATTTCACTTTCAGAAATCCTTCGTTTTCCCCTTTCTGATCTGGCCTGTTTTCCTCTTCTCTCCACATCGGAATAAGCAGAATCTGTCTTGCTGCTTTCCCTCTCCGACTTTGAGTAAGAGGACGAGGACCTGGAATCTCTGTAAGATGAGGAATGAGAAGATGTATGCCGTGAATCTGTAGACGATCTAGAATGCATCCTCCGGTACTCTTCTTCCGAATCGGAACTCTCTCTCACCCGGCTGTCCAGGTAAGAGCGGGAATACCGTGTCTTCTCTCTATATGGTGAGCTTCTGTGGTATCTCCGGTCAGAATCGTAGTAATGGGACCGCTCAGATCTAGAATAAGATGAGGTGGTTCTAGAGCCCCTTTCAGATCTAGGACGGGAGCGGGAGCGGCTTCGCCTCCTCTCCCTGTCTGATCTGGACCGGGAGGAGTACCTCGAATCTCTTTCCGATCGTGAATAGCTGGAATATTTTTCATCCCTTTCCGATCTAGATCGCAGAGAGACCTTTGATGGCTCTTCCGTTTTTGAAGGTGCAGAGCTTTTCTGCGAGTCCTTTTCTTTCTCCGAGCTGGCTGCTGCTTTGATTTCGTGGGACCGCTGACTTGAGGAGGTCCTCACCGAATCTTCATCAGATTCAGAACCCGGCAATGCCCCCTCTGACAATGAGAACTTTCTCCTTGGTTTCTTTGAACTTGGAGCACCCTTGGGAACTTCTGCAATTTCTTCTTCCTTCGCAGCGTGGGGATGTCTTTTCACCAGTGCTGGTTCGACATCCTCAGAAACACCAGGAGCCAGGGGTGCTTCAGAATCCCCTACCACGGCATTCTGTAGTTCCAAAGTCTCCTGTGCTGGATTGGGCAGTGGTTCTTTTGCCGTTCGGATGACGGTTTCCACAAAGGGTATCAGCAGAGGAGTGATGGGGGCTGGTGCTGCAACTTGGGGTGCACTTATTGGAATCAGCACTGGTGTGGGAGCTGGTTTTATCTGCAGAGGAGGAGGGGGAGGAGGGGGAGGAGGGGATGACGGCATCTCCCCCAATTCTACTGCAGCAGGTGGCGGTGGAGCTACTGGGACTGGTGGCACTGCAGAAACCGGGAAAGGTTTTGTGGTAACATTTAGCAAATGTTTCTTGAAATGAATCTTGCCCAGTTCCGCCTTTGGCTTTGGGGGGGAAAATTCCTCGGAGACCCCCAAGGGATCGCCGAGTTCTGTTTTTGCCTTAGAAGTGAAGTCACTCGGAAGGGGTGGGAGCGACGTGCTTGGGCCTTCACTTAGCTTCTCGTTCCCCAATGCGGCCAGAAACCGGTTTGGCAACGTCTTCTTGGTGAGGCTGAAGCTGAAAGAGACCTTCTGTCTCCCTTGTTCCTCCAGATTCACTTTTGTCCGGGTACCTTTGGGTAAGAAACGGCTCGACGCCAGTCCCTTGAAGACCGCCGGGCCTTTGACAAAGCCGGGTTTCTGGACATTGTCACTCTTGCCCTACAAGTCAAAACGGGATCAAGTTAGAGCTATTTGGTTTCAAAAAAGAGGAATAAATTAAAAAAAAAAAAAAGACTGACCCAAACCAATAGATGGCAGGTCAACTTAGTTGACTGATAATAGATTTTCATAACTGTGATTTTCTTTTAATGTTATATACTAATTTGGCAAATACAGGTAGTCCTCAACGTACAACAGTTTGTTTAGTGCACCTTGGGTAGGCCACCTTGGCTCTTTTATGACTGGTGGACTTCAACTCCCAGAATTCCTGATCCAGCATGGCTCAGCATGGAAACCTCTCCCTTTCCCCTCAGCATGGCTGGCTCAGGAATTCTGGGAGTTTAAGACCACCAGTCATAAAAGAGCCAAGGTGGCCTAGCCCTGGTTTAGTAACAGTTCAAAGTGACAATGGCACTGAAAAAAATGACTTACAACTGGTTTTCACACTAACGATTGTTGCAGCATCCCCAGGGTCACGTGACCAGAATCCAGACGCTAGTCAACTGACTCGTATTTATGACAGTTGCAGTGTCCCCTGATCCCCTTTTGTGACCTTCTGACAAGTCAATGGGAAGCCAGATTCACTTAGCAACTGTGTTACTGACATAAGAACTGCAATGATTCGCTTAGCAACTGTGGCAAGGAAAGTCGTAAAATGGGTCAAAATTCGCTTAACAAATGCTTCACTTAACAACAGAAATTTTGGGCTCAATTGTGGCCATAAGTCAAGGACTACCTGTATGAAGCACCTTTTGAGAAACATGGAAGGAAGGGTTAAAAGTCATTTTTGTTTCTCTCTTTTGACTCCCCTCCCCACCTCTCCAATGCCACTTCTCTTCTAATGGGCAAATCTTTCTTTCTAGACACCCCAAAACAGAAGTGGAGTTAAGTTAGCACTTACCTCGTTTTCTTCTTCCCTGTTGCGATCCAGATGAAACCGTGCAAGAGGGAGAGAAAAAAAAAACACAGAAAAAAGCATGAAAACTTAAAACAGAAAAAAAAACCACCTATGCTTTACAAATTTAACAACTTTCACTTGTGCTGAGTGCTAATTTGCAACAAGAACAGGCAGTGGCTCACTTACAAATTGTCAACATTAGTGGTACAAGCTATTTCTCCAGCCCTGGTATGTGTCACTCATAAAAAAAAAGTGCTCTAGCATCTCTCCTCAGAAAATCCTTGGTTTTCCCAACAAAACTGTCAATTTTCAAGCATGTGTGTGTGGTCATATCAAGAGTCCAGCAGCGCAGCACCTCTCTTTCCCAAACTATTTATTTATTTAGGGGATTTATATGGCTGCCCACTCACTCTCAGTGACTCCAGGTGGCTTACAAACAATAAAAACCTAATATAAAAAGAACACAACAAAACAAAAACAAAAAAACAAATGTATTTTGAGGGTCTTCTTCTGATATCAGAAATGTGAATTTTAAGGTAAGAGAGAGGATCATGGATGCTAGCCACCTCCAAGGAGGAAGAGGGTCTGGAAATGCCGTTTTCCAGGAACCTTTTACATGCGTGGATAGGGTAAACCTTGTTACAGCAAGTTGCAGCACAAGTCTTGCAAAACTTTCTCCTGATTGCACATTCCGGAATCCCAATGCAATCCCAAGAATTCAGCTTCTAGATTTACTAAGAGAAAGCAGTAATATCTAAGTATGGAAAGTGAAATCTCTGGGAAAATAAAAGTGTTCTCATGCTGGCAGTCCTTGATTTACAACTATAATTGGGAACTCCCATCACTAAGCAAAGCAGTTGTATACACAGGTAGTCCTCGACTTACAGCCATTTCTTTAGTGTCCATTTGAAGTTACAATGGCACTGAAAAAAGTGACTTGCAATCGTTTTTCGACCGTTGCAGCATCTCCAATCACGGGACCACAATTCGGACGTCTCTCAACTGACTCATATTTATGACGGTTGCAACATCCCAGGGTCACGTGATCCCCTTTTGCGACCTTCTGACAAGCAAAGTCAATGGGGGAAGCCGGGATCACTTAACAGCCGTGTTACTCACTTAACAACTGAAGTGATTCACGTAACTGCTATGCAAGATGGTCGTAAAATGGGACAAAACTCACTTAACAACTGTTTTGCTTAGCAACAGAAACGATTAGCAACAATTGCAGTGGTAAGTCATGAAATGCTGATATAGCAGGAAGGCCAAAAAAGCAGCAAAACTGACCTCAACTAAGTTCAGTCGAAAGTTACTATAGTTTTCCCCCCAAAACTGTTGAGCCTCAAAATTACCAAGTTTCAAAGAATACCTTTCAACCATCATTAAAGCCAGCATTGTCATTACACAGCTGCTGTTGGTTGCTGATGGAGAGGTTGTTGTTTATTTAAAGAAGGGAAATGGTTTTCGAGTTCCCCTTAAGGATAACTAACGACCTGCTAACTTAAATGGCAATGCTTATTTATTTCCAACTTTTTCTGCAGATGGTTATAGACCAACGAGTTTTTAAGTTTGTATGAACTGTTTGCAATTTTAATCTGGTTTTAGAATATTTTATCATTTGCATATTTTATCATATTGTAAGCAGCTCAGCTCACCTGGCTAGATAAGATCATCAGTGTTAAAAGGGAGAGAGGTTTGCTGCAAATGCCCCTTCCAGCACTGATGATGTTCCCTAGTTGGGTCATGAAACCTCTGCAAGGAAACCACCAAGCAGTCTACACTTTATGCAAGCAACTGAAATAATATCTTTCTATGCCATAAAATCATGGCGAAACCCAGAAATGTCCTCAATACAAAAGTCATTTCCATCAGTTTGAGACATCCACAATTCAGCAAAAGCTGAATGATCAAAAAATTGTGCTTTGATTTTTTTTTAAAAAAAACAAACTCCTTTGAGGAATGAAAAAAATATTATCCCGACTCAAAACGTCAGCTCATATTCTCTTTCCCGTAATTCCTCATTAGAAGTCCTCAGGACCGTTTTTCTTCACACTTTTTTTTTTTGGGGGGGATACCTGCTGATTTGCTAATTGTAATATTCCAAACCATCCTGAAATTAATTTTGTTGGCACAATTTCTTCCTGATACGATTACAATCTTTTCCAAATTGTTTACTACACGTCTACCTTGTTATAATAAAGCAGTGCGTCTCAAACTCGGCAACTTTAAGAGGGGTGAACTTCAACTCCCAGAATTCCCCAGTCAACAGGGCTGACTGGGGAATTCTGGGAGTTGAAGTCCACCTGTCTTAAAAATTGCCAAGTTTGAGAAACACTGTTTTGGAGGAGTTGACAAGCTACACAAAACATATAGATGTCCTTTAACTTAACTGTGTACAAATGCATTCTATTTATTTATATTGCCAAGTCACTGTAAAGTTGCTTGTTTTGCATAGAACTAATAATCCAGCATACTAGATTAAAACTCACTTAAAAACTGGCTTGCTTAACAACCGAAATTTTGGGACCAATTGTGGTCATAACTGGAGGACTAAATGTATATTTATTAGACTTTTCCTTATGCACAGGTCCCAAAAGGGGGATGGGCAAAGTGTTGTCCAGAAAACTTCCTGGTGACAATTCTGCAAAACCTGGTTACAGAACGGTAGCTAAAATAAGTATCGGCCAGACCTGCAGGTGGTTTATGAAAGGGGGATTCCCGTGATCTGAATGGGTCACCTGGGGTGAAAAGAAGCCTCTGAACCCCGACAGGGTCAAGGAAGCAGCTCTCAAAGGAAGCATAAAAAGACGGCCAGCTGCACTGCTGAGGTGTGTTTGAACTGGTTGCTGTGGATACAGCAAACAGCATTATTTGCTTGAGAAAACCAACAATGTAAGGAGGAGTGGCAGAAAACAGTTTGCAAGCTAATCAGAAGTGCAACTAAACTCAGTGGGAGGCAAGCCACGCGGAGGGAAATACAGAGTTCTAAGATCTGCAAGGTTCAATAAAGTCCGATTTGCAGACTATATGAAAAAAAAAAAAAAGATTTCTAGAATCAAATCACCTGGGATACACAACTAGTCCTTGTTTGAAGTTACAACGGCACTGAAAAAAAGGATTTACTGTTCTTCACACTTACGACCGCTGCAGCATCCATCCCCGTGGCCACATGATCAAAATGCTTGACTCATATTTACGACGGTCGCAGTGTCCCCGGGGTCACGTGACCCCCCTTTAGCGAACTTCTGCCAAGCAAAGCCGAAGGAGGAAGTTGGATTCACTTTCACAACTGTGTTCCTAATTTAACGACTGCGGGGGTTTGTGTAATGTGTGTGGCAGGAAAGGTCGTGAAAAGGAGGCAAAGCTCACTTAACAACTGTCTCGCTTAGCAACGGAAATTTTGGGCTCAACTGTGGTCGTAAATCGAGGATTGACTGCATCCCCAAATTGCTGAATAGCCAACCGAGGCGTTAAGGTTAGGCCAAGTCTCCACGGCCATCCTTTCCCCTTAAGAAAGCGTCTTGCTACCTTCCAAAATCTTCCTTCAAGGCAGAGAGAACCACGGAAGACACATCGCAGGTCGTCCTCGACTTACGACCACAATTTCCGCTTCTAAGTGGGGCGGTGGTTCAGTGAATTGCACCTCATTTTACAACTTCTTTTTGCCACGCCTGTTATGCGGATCCCTGCAGTTGTTCAGTTGAGTCACACAGCTTGTTCAGTGAATCTATCTGGCCTCCCTGTTGACTTGGCTTGTCACAAGGTCGCAAAAGGGAATTGCGAGACCCAAGGACCCTGCGGCCGTGGTAAATACGGATCAGTTGCCGAGGGCCTGAGTTCTGATCACGTGACCATGGGGATGCTGCAACGGTCGTAAGTGTGAAAAAGGTCTGTGTCGATTTTTTCCAGTGCCGTTGTAACTTCGAATGGTTTCTAAATAGTCGTAAGTCGAGGAGTACCTAAAGTGTCATAAAGAAGCCAAAAAATGAAAAAGTACAGATGTCAAACCATCATTTTCAAGAGCTGCGACGCTCTTCCCGATGACTATAATCGCTACCACACAATTGCGCCAACGACTCGCCTCTGTTGAACTCACTTTGCCAACTGTGTTTTGCAACTAGCAAACGGTTCTGGCTAAAAGCTAAAATTACCAATTAATGCTCCCTCCCGAGGGAGGGAAGGAGGCGAAGGAGGGCTGGGAAACAAACAACACAAATTTGTCCACCGCTCACACACCCAAGGCTGAAATCACAGGAAAAGATGCTGCAAAGGTGGAGCTAACCAGGGAAGCAAAATTTAAATCCTATTTCCTCCTCTTCCAGCACTGGATTCTGCTGTCCTCCCAATGTTAAGCAGCCTCTGAAAACTCATCTTGCCCATTACAGGCAGTCCTCGACTTACAACAATTCATTTAGTGACTGTTCAAAGTTACAATGGCGCTGAAAAAACTGACTTATTACCGTTTTTCACAGTTATGACCGTTGCAGCATCCCAACGGTCCCATGATCAAAATCTAAATGCTTGGCAACCGTTTCATATTTATGACGGTTTCAGTGTCCTAAGGTCATGTGATCGCCTTTCGCGACCTTTTAAAAAATGGGAAAGCCAGATTCTCTTGGCAACCCTGTGACTAGTTTAACAACTGCACGAATTCGCTTAACAATGGAGGCAAGGAAGGCCGCAAAATGGGGCAAAACTCAATTAACAACTGTCTCGCTTAGCAACGAAAATGTGGGGGTTCCGTGTGTGGTCGTAAGCCGAGGACCTATCTGTAATCCAGCCAGTGCTAGATGTAAGCTCGCCATACAAGGATCAGCTCAGAGCTCCTGCTCTCTGGCAGCTAAGCAAGCATGGTGATACAGGCAGTCCTCGACTTACGACTGGAATAGAGTCCAAAAATGTCCACTGATAAGCAAAATGGTTCTTAAATGAGATGTGCATCGCTGTGTGGTCTTCTTTTTATCATGGTGGTTAAGGAAATCACTGAAGTTGTTAAGTGAATTATGTGGTTTGTTAATCGAGTTTGGCGTCCGCCAAGGCCTTGCTAGTCAGAAGCTTGCAGATGGTGATCACACGTGACCCAGGGATACCCAGGCGACCGTCAAACCCGAAGTTTGATCCCATGACTATGTGGCGATGGTCATAGATGTGAGAACAGGCCCTCGAGTCCCTTTTTTCAATGTCGTTGTAACTTTGAACGGTCATTAAATGAATGGTTGTATGTCAAGGACTACCTGTTATCCCATCAAGCAATGCCACAGCCTCAAGCATCCCTAGGTAAGAGTGGACCACTAGGCTACCGGTTTCTGTTAGGCCACAACTGGGGAAAAATGAAAACCGTTAAGAGACAAATCCGAACTGCTGTCTTTGACCCACAACAGCCTCTATGAGAAAGCCATCTCACAAAATGGTTGCCGTGGCTACAAATGGGGAAATTCCTACTGGTCAAAAGGCAAACTGATAGTTTGCACCCTCTACCTGTAAATTCCAGAAATATAGAATAACAGGGCTGGAAGGTACCTTGGAGGTCTTCTAGTCCAGCCCCCTGCTCAAGCATTCATTTATTCCAGATGAACACAAACCTGGGTTTGCATTAAACTAGGCGAAGTGAACCACGGATTTATTGCTTAACTCTTTTGGGTTTCATGATCTATATAATGAGTCAAATATTAACCAAGCACATTTCTGGTATGAGTGCTTGGTAAGCCTGGCCTGGAAATAAAAACTAACAATTTTAAGGAGAAAGTAGGACAAAATGAAATGCTATTCAGTGCTAAAATGAATGTATTTTTTTATAAAATAATTTATATTTATTATTTAAAATAATAGACAGCATACTAATAAAACAAAAATAAATTTATTTTGAGCTACTTGTAGCCTGATTTTTATTAGTTTTACTAATAACTCAAGACATCCACCATATCCAACACACTTTCCTCCTCCTATTTTCTCCACAACAATCCTTTGAGGTGGGTTGGACTGAGAGGGAGGGACTGGCCCCAAGTCACACAGCCAGCTTTCATACATAAGGCAGGACTAGAACTCACCGTCTCCTAGTGATTGACCCAAACTCACCCAGCTGGCTTTCAGGTCTTAGGTGGGACTAGAACTCACTGGCACCAGGTGATTGGCTCAAAGTCACCCAGCCGGCTTTCATGCCTAAGGCAAGACTTGATACTACTCATCCCAGATTGGGATATGTGGTGTGTGTCTATGTGTGTATTACATTGTCAGGTCTGCCATCTTCACCTCTTGGCTTTGCTGACATCCTGCCATGAATTGTTAGGGAGGGTGGGAAGGAATT